TGGACCATGCATAGCGGAGTCCGATGTTGCTTTTTTTTTTTTTTTTTTTTTTTTTTTTTTTTTTTTTTTTTTTTTTTTTTTTAAAGTTGGGAAGCGGTTGCTGTTACATTATACTGGATGACCAAAAGGAATAGATGCATCTAATAGAGTTGCTGTCATAATCATAACATGTGCATGTGTCGTCGCGCAGGCTGCAAATATCGCGCAGGCTGCAAACTGTCAATTACCGCCGCAGGGCAGCGAACCGTCGCGTCAACTCATCCAACTCGGGTATATCACTCTTTCCCGACCTGGTCGGCTGGGTCGAGTCCCGCGAGATGTCTTCCCCGGGTACTTTGACTCTAGGGTTCAAATTATCCATCCGAGGCCCTGGCGGCGCCACACTCACCGGACTCTTTCCCTCGAAGAGTCCCCTCGGCGGCGTAGCCTTGTTCAATGCGACCGTCTCAGACGCCCGTCGCGCCTCGCTCTCCATCTTCCTCGGCGTAGATGGCAATTCCCTCTCCCCATCTCCATCTCCACCTCCACCTCCTACCTCCCCATCACTCCCTTCCCCCCCTCCCTCCATCACCCCCGGTACATCCCCCTCCACCTCCACCGGCCACGCAACCCCATACGCCCTTGCAATCTCGAGCAAATAACACTCCACCAACTCCGCCGTGGGCGGCCTCACCCTCAACCCCCTGACCAGCCGTTCCGGCACTTTCACCTCCTCCAATTTATTCTCCTGCGCTAACAGCATGAAATCCTTCCCCCAGCGATCGGAAAGTAAGTTTCGCAGGATGGTCATTTCGCGGACGTCGTGCGGAAAACGTGGGTAGGCGTAGAAGATCACGGCCGCGGCTTCATCGAGGGCGGGGTCGATGTAGCCTTCTGTTTCTTCGGGGGATTCTTCGGGGGCGGCGGGGGGTGTAGTGGTGGTGGTGGTGGTGGTGGTTGAGGTAGGGGAAGAGGTGGAAGTGGTGGTGGTATCTCTCCTCCCAAATCCAAGTCCCCAAAACGAGAACCCTGATGATCCCTTCTTCCCCTCCCCCATTCCCATTCCCATCCCCACCCCACCCCCGGATGAGGAAGTGGTAAGATGTTGTTGTTGCTGCCTCACCACTTCCCCCCTCGCGCGACTCCTCGCTCGATTCCCCTGTTCCCCAAACGCCGCCTGATCCAACACATTCGCCCGCGCTAGAAGCAGCTCGCAATACAACTCCACCATCTCCATGACTTCAACGGCGGTATCGGTAGCGATGACATTCTCGACGCGGATGCGGGCGCTCGTGGAGCGGTTCTCGGTGAGTAGGGCGGAGAGGTCGCGGCGTTGGACGACGGAACTGGCGGTGTCTTTTTTTTGGAGCAGGCGGAGACGCGGGATGAGGAGGTGGAGGGTGCTTGTTAGTTTTGTCTGATTTAGTTGTTAGATGGGGAGGTTGTTTTGGGGGGTGGGTGCGGGGGAGGGGGAGGGGGCGGGGATGAGGACGGGGGGAGGGGATGGAAGGGATGATTGGGGAGGATCTGGAGGAGGAGGGGATGGGAGGATGGCTTACGGTTTGGGGTGAGGGAGGCATGGTGAATGTAAATGTGTAGAGATGGAGTGGTGGTGTGTGGTGTGGTCTGGAATGATAAAGACGGAGGTGAGTGATGAGGTGGGCCGAGCCTAGCTCCGGCCGGTGGAGGCAGCCATTGGGTTGCTTCGAACCATACTTTCTCATAGATTGTCTTGTGGGCAACATCATATCAAGATTATCTACACACTGAATCATCCTATGCTAAAGGGGATTCATTATATCCGAGGATGGTCACACACAATTATACCACAACGTCATCTGCAACTCCTCCAGTCGTCGCAACCCCCCCGACACCCGTCCCAAAGCATCAGTCAGGAATGCACTGCGTGTCCCCCCCGGTCGAGGAGCTTCCCACGTCGTCCATCCCCGCGACATCGCCCGCTGAAACGTCGTTTCCGGATGCGTGTCGGGCCCCAACGGCGCCAGCTCCACCACGGCCTCCGGTCCCAAGGTCAACAGATAATTGATCCACTCGTGCAGCACAATCATCCCTTGATTTCGCTCCGGAGCGATGCCGGAATTCTGGAACACCCCAAACCGACGGGCCCGCTCGGTCTCGCCGCGCAGGAACCCTAACATATACTTCAGACACGTCCAGATCTCATCCATGTCCTGCATGTCGCCCACGGAGAGTCCGCCAGGATTACCCTCCCCAAATCCCGGAGGAGGGTCGAACAGGATGCTGCCCACGTCCTTAGGATCGGGACAGGGCTGGAACGGGGACAAGACCTCCCCGCGCAGCCAGCTGACCTGTCCGTCCATGTCGTTCTCGCGACCGGTCTGCATTCCGAATAGGAAGCAAAAGGTCCATACACGCCAGATGGCATTATCAAGCCGACGGGCATCCGGGCCGGACGGGCGGGAAAGTGCCGTGTACGAGCTGGTGCGCATCACGGCCCGGCAGTAGGTCATCATCAGGCCCTTGAGGGTGGCGAGGGCGCGGAGGTCGCGAGTCACCGCGCGGTAGTAGACCGTTGCAGAGGGAATATCCTGCGGGTCTGCCTGTTGATTGATATCACTCATTTGACGCAGCTCCCAGGCGGCCGGGGATCGGCGTCGAATGGTGTTCTCCATCAAAGGGAGTTCGTGACGCTTAAACACATGGTATGTAGCTTTGCTGGTCTGCGCAAAAGAGAAGAGATCGTCGAGATCGTCGATCTGTAGGAGGACATGGAGAATCATGTCTTCGAGGCCGGGCTTGGAGAGGCTCCATCGTTTGCTGGTCATCCGCTGCAGATCGTCGTCTAATGCAGCCATGACGGCGGCAAACGGCGGGCAGGAGCTGCGCGGCTCGGATCCCTCATCTGGGGCAGTACCGGTGAAGTAGCGCACCGATGGTGCGCCTTCAGTGAACGTGTCATCCTCGCCATAACCGACGTATTCCCAGCTGCTTTCGTTGTCGCCCCGCAGGCTGGGATGAGGAATCGGCGAGTCAAAGAGCGGGTCAACTGACGGATGATACAGGTCACCGGCGAGCTCGTCAGCGGGCTGCCGGACTGACTCATCAATTTCATGGGGAAGAGAAGAGCATGTATGATCCGAGGGCAAGGAGGAGTGGGACGTCGGCGGAGATGGGATCGGGGGCCCGGTATCTACTCCCAGCAGCGGCTCGTTCTGCACCCTCGTGAACAGAGATCGGAGGAACTGCTGGTTGGCCTCCGCCTGCAGAATCGCATCCATGGAGTACCCATCCTCGAGTAGACTTGCCAGGACATTCTTCATGCGCTTGATCGCGTCTTCGTAGTGGCCTTCTTCTTTCTCGTCGAGGAAACCGGGACCAGCCCTGTCCTCGGGGGGATGGTGAATAGGAGGAATGGTAGACATCCGAACAATGATGGATGCTCGGCGGGCATTCTTTTGCTTGTTCTTTCCGAATCTGCTGGCTTTGTATGCTCCGCCGTCATGGGAGACGGCTTTGCGAGTTAGGACACGGCGCACGCCTGCTTTTAACGTCCGCCACAGAGGTTTGTCGTCACTGTCTTGCTTGAGTTCTTGATTTGACGATTTCTTCACTGGCTGTTTCTGCTGGGGATATATGTCAACCGGACTCAGCCGATTCGGACTCTGACCGTAGTGGTCGCTCGGGAACAGCGGCAATTGCTCAGTTTTGAGGCCTAGAGTTTGTGGCCATGCTTTTTCAGCAACCTGTTCAGGCGCGGAAAATCCATCCCCTGGAGTATACTCGTTTCTCAGATTTGTCGCTGCTCTGGTATCTGGGATTGTTACCGTAGGCCGGGGGGTCGTGGGCCGAGGGGTTGCCGATCGGGGCGTCGAAGGGCGAGGAGTGGTAGGTCGCGGGGTGGTCGGTCGAGAGGACATAGGGGGTGTCATGGGGCGAGATGGTGCGGCAAAAGGGGCGACCGGAGGAAGAGGAGTGGTAGGTCTGGAATGCGATGACATCGGGGTCATGGGACGTGGTGTCGTCGGCCGGGGTACCCCAGCAAACGGTGCTGCATGTGGTAGAGGAGTCGTGGGCCTGGATGTCGATACAGGCGTCACCGGACGGGGCGTGGTCGGCCGCAGTGCTAATGGTTGAGGAGTATAGCCCGTCGGGGATTCTCGCCTGAAGGAGCTTTGCCCGCCACTCGATCTACCGGAGCCTCTGGACTGTGCTCTGTCACTTACACCAGGGACTGGGGGAAGAGGCTTGAACCTCCATTCGCTCGCGGATGGCGAGAGCGCCGCCGAACTGGAACTGGATACATAGGAATGGCATGGACTCGGTGGGCTGTGATCATCCGGCCTGGCCTTTGGTATGTTAAGATGGGGCACAGCCAATCGGTCTGCTGCGTCCCATTTGGTTTCCAGTCCTGCGAGGAGGAGCTTATCGTCGACGTCCTTGGGTGGCATCTTGTTCAGGTGTCTGGTGTCGTCGGCGTGATCTTCGAGGATATCGTTGGGGAGAAAGTAGAGCGTCGACCGGGAGGCCAGACTGTCCAGCGATTTCAAACCGTGAGGATTGCTGAAAGGAGCCTGTGGAGGGGCGAACGGCGATCGAGAGCGGATGGGTGCGTAGGGACCCTGGGTGTAGTCGGACATGGTATGCAGGGTAATCATGGAGAAAACCACCGTCGGGCCAGGAAAGTCCAGAACAATGGCCTATATTAGTCCAGGAGGATCGGAAAAGGGTGATATACGTCGCATCCCACGGATGACATACCCCTGGGCCCGGATCCGCATGATACGCAAGCCCTGCAACCCGGAAGGCATAAATGTTGGGTCCAGAATGTTTTGGATTTAGTCACAGGGCCCACGTGAAACCCCCAGGAGATGCGAACTCAGCAGCTAGTCCCTGGCTAGAGACAGGTGCCTGCGACGGAGTGACAGGAGTCCATCGTTCCAACCAATGGCGGGGAACTGGGCGCAAGCAAGCACCTGTGCCTTGCTGACGGGGCATCAGCTAGCAGGGTTGGGGCAGTGTTGTAGCACTGAGACGGACGAGAGCAACGCATCAGCGTGGTTGTTGGAGCTCCAGTTGTGTGCTTGAAGAAACTAGTTCGCGATGGCGTTGGGGCCAAATCGCGTCAGAGTCGGCGAGGAACCCGGACTGCGTTGGCAGCGGTGCTGAGTCGAATGTTAGTCTGGTCACCAAGTGCAATAGCCGAATTGCAACGAGACTCACCTTGAGCGAAATCTAGGGACATCATGAGAATTCGGGGGGTGATGGGGTGATGGGGTGATGGGGTGATGGGGTGATGGAAGAGACGAAGCGAGCAGACGACGGCGTAGGCGGAGCGCCAAGAGGGCAGACGGATGACGCTCACGCGCCGCCTCGCTCTGCTGCTCACCTCTTGTAAACTTCCGCCCCCAGAGACGATCCAACTCATTTCCGTCCCAGCCGATCTAGAAGGCGATGCTCGTCGGGAGCCATGTGGCAGAGCCCACCAGGTGCACCAGGGGATGGGGACTTTCCGGTCCCGGCTGACATCAGATGTTGTTCTCTCAGGCAAGCCGTTTGGGGCGAAAACCGCCCGCTGGATGTTTTTCGAGAATTCTAGCGCATAAAGGGGATTGTTGGGACGGTAGGGATCCTGATTCTACATGCCTGATGTTTGCTTCGAATGACACTGACATGGATAGATGAACGACCAAAGTTCCGCTAGCCCAGGTTATAGACTGATATACAATAGACAGCAGAGCTACAAACTCATCTCAGGAGGCCCCCCTCACTCGAAAAAGCCGGACTCCTATCTCCGTCAGCTCAACAAGGCCACCGAAGGAATCAGGAGAGTGGATATAAGCCACATGGATGTCATAGATGGTCCCCGGATCCGACGTCTACTCCTTTTCTCGAACCCGATCAGCGGGTTTAGGTCGCCAAGTTGACTGGGAGCAAAATGGCCCCAACTGTTAGGCCAATCTTGGTGGGTGTGCCTTGCACTATGGTGGAGTCGGAAAGTAGCTTGCAGCATCGTTTCAGGGAACCGAGACTGCTGAAGTCGGTGAGTGGGATGATAAGATGGATTCTGATTGCGATTAGGGGCTGTAGGTTATCTGCTACCAGTGTGCAGAGAGCCTGTAAGTACCTGCCGACTAGTGTCAGCGGTTTCAACTGTTCTTGTGCGACAACAAACAAGTCTGAAGCCGAGACGACGACACCTCAGTCGAGCCTTTTTCCAGATTAGGAATGTGATATGTTGGAGAACTTAACAATGACCCTCTTACGTTCCATCGAATGTCTCTTACATATGGTGTCAGTCGTACCCCGGCTGTTACATCATGGCGGCCAACCGACCCGGTTTCGAAAGCTGCCAGGTCCCAATGGGAGAGGCTTCATCGATCACGCCCTACCGGCCGGCAAATGGATCTGTCGTAAGCCTCCACAGTTGCAGATGCGCACCCAAATCCAACAATTGTGGCAGCCAAGGATCATGATTGGACATGTTGTAAGCTTCCTGAGACAGTTACATGCATGGATGGCGTTTGAGACTTGCATGACTGGCTTACTACACCTAACTCTTATCTTTATATCTAATACACTTCGTCGAGCAGCAGCACTCTGCAGCAATGTGTGGTCGGGATAATCTCCGTATGATAAGGGCCCTAACATGGGAAATGCGTAACATATCTAAAACGGAAGACCCTGGGAGAAACCCAATGGCACCAATCGGTACACTTGGGATCTGTAACCTAGCCGGTCATCTCCTTAAGCGTCTAGCTTTCAATTGGGGACCACCCTAAGACATCACAAGGGTTGGCCATCCTTAGATCTCGGCTCCAAAGGCAATTCGCAAAAAAATCCCACCCCCCACCACCATGGGGGAAAGATTGGACTTGGTCAATCCCAGTCCATGAATGACATCCAACATCTCAGACCAGTCATATGCTCCCAAAGACCGGATAATAGGATACCACCACCAGGGGTACGTTGCAGCCAGCCAGCAAAACACCCATATGAAACCAACACATCGCTGCCATAGTGGTGTTTCCGCCGCATTGGCTTTCTCCCGCTGTAAGACAGCCCAGCAATGCTGTATCGTGTCCTCGAAGGCAATGGCACCGGCCTGTGAGAGGAAGAAGATCATAGTGCCGGTGTTTCCGCCTTCGATCCCGCTGACAACGTTGGTGACCACATGCATTGTTGCAGAGAGCGCAAAGACTATAGTCAAGTTTAGATACCGTTCTAATAGGGAGGGCTTGGGAAGGCGGAGGATGCGACAGGTGATTGCTGTTGAGATGCTAGTGTAAGGCCACCGGAGATACTGATGCCAGAATTTGCTGGTTGTTGCCTATGTTAGTGCATATTTCTCGAGGGGAGCAATTAACATGAAGTAGCAGACAACGGACCCCCAAAATCCACGAACGGTGTATGACTCTCGAAGGCTCCCAAACACTGGGGGCCACGATTCCACTTTCGATATGCCTGTCCCAATGGCGAGAATGGATCCCATTCGATATGAGGAGTCCAGGAAGAGCATCGATCCTGGAAACCCGAGAACAAAAGCGACTTTGGCCCGTGCGAGCAACTGCTCGACGCTGGAGTCTGCGTATGAAAATTCGCGTCCTGGTCCGTACAGGTAGATCCCATCATGGTCCGGCTTAACGTGCGGCACAAATAACATTAACACCCAAATCAGGGAGAGGGCCTCCCATATGATAATCGCTATTTGCCTTTGTATATACTGGGCTCGACTGGGTGGATTTCGTCGGAGCACCAACGGCTGTTGGGGAACATTCCTCGCTTGCCATTTGGTGCCGATACCACGAAGGGACTGGAGTATGCTAAACGCAAACACCAGTTTATCCTTGGTTGAACCAGGGTGCTCCGTCAAGTCGATGCTGGTGACCAGCAGAAGGTTGATCAATTGAATGATCGTGGTGAACGGCATGCCGCTAACCGTGACTTTGGCAAAGACATTGTGGTTGGATATTCTCACGAGGACGCCTTCTAAGTAGGCCATGTACACTAGCGAAGGAAGGCATATCCAACGTAGAATGGAGCCCTTGGGTGTCCGGACCAGGAGAATGAGGGCGATGGAGCTCTGAAGCAGCACAACAAGATTGCAAAGTAGGTCTGGTGAGAGGGCCATGTTGTCTTGGGGTGGATACACCATTGACGGTGGAAACAGCGCCATGCGAGGGAAAGAGGGGGTTATACCGTGGGCTCAGGTGAATGTTCATGTTATACTGTGGTACCGACTCTGCTGGAGACTGCAACGCTCCCAAACCTCAGTGCATCTGCTTGTACGACAGTCGACTCACAACCCTGAGCAGCAGGAAAGATGGCGGGTCTTTTCCATAATAAGGCATACTCGTTCTGATATAGACTACGAGTTCATCATTCAGCAAATTGAGCCTGTTGGGCCACTTTCAGGTCGAGCCATCACTGGGTCATGGTAAGCCTCTCGTGGCTGAGATGAGAGTGCTATAAGTCAGTCAATTCCAGAAGCATGGTGTAACCTGAATTGGAAGCTTGTGTTGCCTGAGTAGGTCTTCGAAGACTCCAACATCGACCGACCTGTATCATATATCAATATGATGAGGATCCAGATCTGAGGTGGCAAGATCTCCCTCTCCATGCTATGCCGAGGACACCGCAGAGGCATGATTCCATAGTGCCCGAACTGACAGCCCCCAGTCAAGTCAGCTGATAGACCTCCCCTCGGGCCATCTTCGACCCGATGGAGCCGGAGCATCATCCCCCCGAGATCCCCCCCGGCTCTCGCCAGCGATTGTCCCGGGGACTCTGCGTCACCTCTGGTCCTCGGTCCTGGATATTCCCTGCTTCGTCCTACCTGAAACCGTGGGTCTTCCAGGCCGAGGCCAGCCGAAGATTGGGGTAGTGGGGTGGGCCTCTCCAGTTTCGAACAGGTGGGCGTTGTTCTAGCTCCCCCTCGGCCTGGAAACACATGGGGTGGGGACTTGATGGACATTTACTCAAATTGTTATAGATAGAGGCGAACGACCAATTATATTCTCATCGTAAATTCGTATCCTGATTGTTTTACATGAACCAGTCATGGCTACTTGCACTAGATGTTAATACCAAGCCCCAAGCTCGTCGCCGAAGCGAGCTTCTCAACTTTCCCCCGTCACCTCACATTCGATTAGAAGAGAGCATCGCCCAGACGGTAGTGCACAGCCTTGATCTGGGTGTAGTTCTCGAGGGCGTACGAGCCCAGCTCGCGACCGATACCGGACTCCTTGAATCCTCCGAAGGGCACCTGGTAGGAAAGCAGGTTGTAGCTGTTGACCCAAACGGTTCTGTGATTCACGTTAGCAGGTGTTTGCCAACACACGATGCAATGGGAATACTCACCCGGCACGCAGAGCGTTAGAAACGCGAATAGCGGTGTTGACATTCTTGGTGTGGATACCAGCAGCGAGACCTGGAAGAAATCAATCAGCATATGGGCATCATTGTGCTCATGGTGTAAAACTTACCGTAGGAGGTGCTGTTGCCAATCTTAATAGCCTCATCCACATCCTTGAACTTCTGCACGGTGACAACCGGGCCGAAGATCTCCTCCTGGCTGATCTTCATGTCCGAGGTAACATCGGTGAAGACAGTGGGCTGGATGAAGTATCCCTCGGTGCCATGACGCTCACCACCGACGGCGACGGTAGCTCCGGCATCCTTACCGTGCTTGATGTACTCCATGATGCGGTCAAACTGGAGCTGCGAGACCTGGGGACCCTGGAAGGTCTCCTTCGAGAAGGGGTCGCCCACCTTGTTCTGGGCGGCCCGCTCCTTCAAACGCGCAACGAACGTGTCATAGATACCTTCCTGGACCAGAATACGGGAGCCGGCGCAGCAGCACTGGCCGTGGTTGTAGAAAATACCGAAGTTGGCCCAGGAGATAGCATTGTCAATGTCGGCATCGTCGAAGACGATGTTGGGGGACTTGCCACCCAGCTCAAGGGTCACCTTCTTGAGGTTGCTCTTGGCCGCGGCCTGGAGGATAGTGCGGCCAACAAGGGTGGAGCCAGTGAAGGCGACCTTGTCAATGTCCATGTGGCTAGAAATGGCAGCACCCGCCACACGGCCGAAACCGGAGATGATGTTGACCACACCATCGGGGATCCCGGCCTCCTTGATCAGCTTGGCCGCGTACAGACCCGACAACGGGGTCTGCTCGGCGGTCTTAATAACGACGGTGTTACCGGTAGCGACGGCGGGACCGATCTTCCAGGACCACATCAGGATTGGGAAGTTCCAAGGGATGATCTGTCCACAGACACCAATGGGCTCGTGGCGAGTGTAGTTCAAGGTCTCCGAGTTGGTGTCGATGGTCTGACCGTGAATCTTGTCGGCCCAACCACCGTAGTAGCGCAAGCAACCCGCAGCGTTGGCGACATCGACCTTGGCCATGGTAATAGATTTACCATTGTCCAGAGATTCGATCGAGGCCAAGATATCGGCATCGCGCTCGAACAGGTCCGCCAGCTTGGTCAGCAGGCGGCCACGGTCAGTGGGAGTAACCTGGCGCCAGGAGCCCTCAAAGGCCTTGCGAGCAGCGGCAACAGCAAGGTCCACATCCTTCTCGGTTGCTTCGTGAACGGCAACAATAGGCTTCTCGGTGGTGGGGTTGACGGTCTCGAAGGTCTTGCCTTCGACACCCTTGACGAACTCGCCGTTGATGAACCTGGGTTACAAGACCAGTCAGTCACCAGAGAGACAGAAAGGACCTTGGAGGGAGAGAAGGGACACTTACAAGCCCAGAGGCTGTTCATATTTGGCGGTGGGGGTCTCGATAGTGGTGAAAAGGTCAGCCATGGTGAAGGATAGAGCTGTGGTTTAGGGAGGAAGAGGAGAAGAGAAGAGAGAACGAGCGACAGAGCGAGGGAATCCTATCCTTAATAAATAAAGCGGACACGAAGACAGGTGGTGGTAGGGGGGGGTCGAGAGAGGGGAAGCTGGTGAGGGGGCGAGGGGCGCATTCCAGCGGAGATCGTGGAGCCCGCGGTACTGTATTAATTGAGTAGATACATCCATCGTGACGGTCCAGCCAGATCCATGGGAGGATGTCCGGGTAACATTACTTCACCCCTCCGCGGATAGCCACCATCGCCGCACCTCCTATTGGAGCCACCAGCTTCCCTACAGCATATCCCAGATTCTTTCTGGGTTCCCAGGTTCCCGCATGCCAGCCCGTCCCCACCCGCCTAGTAATCGGCAGCGATCGTGCGGGGTTTCCAGCCCATCTCTTTCACTTTTCACTTTCACTTTCTGGCCACCCCCAGGGACCCCCGGGCCCTTCGCCTCCAAGGTTCACACTTCACAGGTTGGTAGTTGGCAAGTCTGCCGCCCTGTGGCGGTGGTGGAAAATGAACAGCGGCGGGTGGGTTACATCTTACATCATAGCTAAGAACGAGAGGGACTCGGCGCCCGAAGGATGGAAAGGAGCCCATGTTATTACTCGCAACTAAGAACATTCTCGTATCTCATCCTCGCGGAACTCCCTCCACCTTGTTGAAGTAGTGGCGGGGACCAGGTGCCTACTAGCGGTTTAGTTGACCTGCAAGCTGCAGCAAATTGGTCAGCCCAACTAGAGTGCTTACCACTCCCCTCCAAATTGGGCCAAAGGTGATACATTAGTCGATGCATCTGCCATTAACCCGGTATGGCGCAATTTAGCGCTGGCCAGTGGGAGACTTCGTTCCGTCAATCCGTCGCAGGTGGAGGGGAAGTGGAGGGGAGATATCAGAAATCGTTCCTGGCAACCAGACAAGTGAGATCCCCAATTGTTGACCGATCCACCCTCGCCAAGTCACTAGTGGCTGCCGTTGAGTTTTACTAACGATGACACCTTCGCCGTCTTTCACTGCGACGGGCGGGACTGAAGCCCGGGCAGGAAAGGATTCAAACCTGGGGTGGTCGGCTGATTTGAGCGTGTCGAGGATCCAAGACCTGCGTATATCCGGATCCATCCCTCTAGGCCCTCTCCGGCAAGATGGCTGGCAGGCTGCTATACCTGGAACTGGGGAGAGCGGGCACCGCCTTCTTAGCCAGTTTCTTGCTGCGACACCGAGGATACTCAGGTCCCGCTAGTGACAGTGCTAGTAGCAAAGCTCCCCACTTGTGTATTAGATTAGAGATCATAGGTGAATTCACCGATAGCCATTTGAAACGGCGGGATTTACGATTCCGCTATTCCGCAACCAGATCCCGCTGCCATGGCAATTACAGTTATTGACTCACTTTTCTTTCCCATGTTGTCCCAATGAGGGCTTCGACTAGAGCAGTTCAACGGAACTGAACCTTACATAGGAGGGACTACGGAAGTACTGCAGCTTACACCGTCACGGCTTATCTCCGAGGCTATTCTGTCGAGGGTCGCCTCTGCGCTGACGCAACTCGTGGGGTAACGAAAGCGGGCTCCAGGCTGTCCCTTCCTGATTGAGCCTCGGCTTCCTGACAGTGCTGACACCGACCCTGTTCTTTCCCGAATCAGCGATAACACACCTTCGGGTTGATTTATACCGGCAGGATCTTAAGACCTCTCTCCTCCTCTCACCGAGATTCCAAGGACCCCAGCTACCCTGCTGTTCAAGTTGTTGTGATTGCTCCTGAGGACGGAAATGTGGCCATCCCGGGGAACCATGGATGGAACCCTGCAGTACCTGGGCTTCTGATAAGGACTTCCCCATTGTTATCGGGGAACCTAAACTGTTTCACTGGGCAAAAAGTGGCGTTTTGAAGCCCAACCAGGCACCTCTCCTGCGCGCAACGATGACGAAGCGAACTTTCTTGTCATAGTTATTGTAGGAGACTACGGAGTAGGGGATACCCTGGAAATCCTCCGCGGGAGAGATTTTAATTTGCAGTTCAATACAGCATAACATGCCAGCGCGAACACCCAGGCCAGTATCTATTCTCACCAAAAGATCTGGAACCATCGCAGAGAGTTGGAAAGACTTCCGGGTGAGATTGCACCGTTCTCATGCAGCGTCATGTCTTGCTATGCTGCGATGCGACAACAAGACCGCTTTATCAGTGCCGATCGGCGGGGACGGGACTATTCTGGCCATCCCCGGAATGAGCTCAGCACACTTGGTCCGTGTGTAAATGCAAGAATGAATGGGTTGCTAACAATGCCATCGAACCCCGCAAAGTAATGACTCAACTGTACGAGGTAATATAGTATTCCAATAATGACCAGGGATGAAAGAAAAGGAAGGATGGCGGAATGGCCAATCCCTGTTCTGCCGACCATCGAGCGCCTATAAAAGGGCCCTAGCTTCGCGCATCCCTCTTGCAACCGTGGTGCAGCCCACGAGTCCCCTGATTCGCTTCCGGTCCAGCCATCGAATCCTTATCTCCTCATTGTTGACGCAGGAAAATGCCGACATTCTACCAGTCGATCACCCCCGAACTCCGCGACTGGACCCTCCGCCAGAGCGTCTTTTTCGTGGCCTCGGCCCCTCTGCAAGGACGCCATGTCAATGTGTCACCCAAGGGCTTTCCCGACTCGTCATTCGCCATCCTGGGTCCCAACGAGGCGGCCTATGTTGATGCCACCGGCTCGGGCAGTGAAACCATCAGTCATGTGCGCGAAAACGGACGAGTCACCGTCATGTTCTGCTCGTTTGACGCTTCCCCCGGCATAGTCCGCTTCTTTTGCACGGGATCCGTGATCGAATGGGATGAGCCTGAATTTCCCTCCTACCTCGAGCGGATGGGAGGCAAGCATGTGGTAGGAGCGCGTGCTATCATCCGTCTGAATGTCTTCAAGGTTCTGTCTCTGACCACTTCTGACACTCTGCCTGACAATTCACCGTAGAGGGAGATGTCCTGCTAACATTGAATGCAATCCATTTTTTGGAGTATAGGCTCAACGTTCGTGCGGCTACGGGGTCCCGCGACTGTCCCTGAAAGTCGACGCCGAGACCAAGGACACCAACCCGTTCCTCCAAGACCGCAATACACTGGGCCACTGGACGGGCAAAAAGGTTCAATCCAACGAGCTTCGCGCATACCAAAAGGAGTATAATGTCCGTAGTCTCGATGGGTTACCTGGACTACACACAGCGTTGAAGGATGACCATCAGCTTATCTGGTTGAAGCAGGTGGGCAACTGGGCGCGACGCCATCGCGATGAGATCGAGATGGTCAAGACCTCCTTCCTGATACTGTTCATCTCCATGGCCATCTTACAATGGGCTGGATATGTGTAGATAAAGCATGGTGGGACGCGAAAGAGACCGGAGACCACAGTTCGGCAACTTCTTGTTGGTCTGGTGGCGTGACCTTCCTTGACTTGGCTCTTCGATCTATCCGCCTGTCACTTGATCCCCCTCTAATAGTCTCATCATGTCGGATGCCGGTGCATAATTGCTTTTCTTACTGGCCCTAATGATTTCATAATTTAAGCTTCCACCGGTCAACTCTAACTTTCTCGAGCCGGTCGATCCGACTGCAAGTGCGGCGAGTCGGGGCAGATCCCCGCAACAAACAACCGAAGGTCCTCGGCATCTCCTGAAGAAGTATTCGCATTCCATGGGCCATGCACTCGCTGCCCTGATCCAAATCTCCAGGATTAGAACTCTCAAGCGGGCATTCTAGGCCATTCCATATTCTCATTTCTTCCTTCTCGTTCCCTTGCTCGAGTTCAAGCGACTCCGCCAGCTACTTGTAACGGTGATACCCCTATAGATCATGAATCGTCCAATTCGCATAGCGGGCAAGTCAATGCAGCTTCCCTCGTGTGGTTTCTTAAGCCTAGCCATAGTCGACTAACCAGCCTTGGCAATAGGAGCGTCCGGGTCCAATGCTGACCGGCGCCATGCTATCGCCGAGTTCGCTCGAAATCATCCCCGGGATCCAGTCGATGTGATCATCGCGGACTTCATGAGTGAGGCGAATATGGTAACGGCGGCTGCACGCAAAGTGGAACAGGACCGGCTCCAGGAGAGAGGGGAACAAAAACCCCTCACCGACAATGCGCCAGGCTATGAAGCCGCGTTCCTCTTGGCTCTGAGCCCAGCCCTCGAAGATCTAGCAAAGCACGGCATCAAAGTGGCGGTCAATGCAGGCAACACGGACACAGAAGGCCTATACAAAGTGGTGAAGCACATGGTGGATGCAAAGGGACTGGACCTCAAGGTCAATTGGTCGCTACTCAGAGGATCCGTGGAGGAGAGATGCTAATATGGCTCCAGGTGGCTTGGGTCTCCGGGGACGAAGTCCTGTCAATCATCAAAGCGGCACTCTCGTCGGGCGAGTCCACCTTCAACAACATCTACACGGGCGAATCTCTCTCCGACTGGCCTTTCGAGCCCATCTTCGCTCAGTGCTATTTGGGTGGGCTCGGAATCGCGGCCGCATTATCCCAGGGAGCCGATATCGTACTCTGCGGACGAGTATCAGATGCATCACCCGTTATTGGAGCTGCGTACTGGTTCCACAACTGGGATCGCACCGACCTCGACCAGTTAGCCAATGCCTTCGTGGCCGGTCACCTCATCGAATGCAGCAACTATGTCTGCGGAGGAAACTTCACCGGCTTCAAGTCGCTAGAACACGTCGGCCGTGACGGCTGGACCAATATTGGGTATCCCATCGCGGAGATCTCCCCCAAGGGCCAAGTCATCATCACCATGCAGTCCTACGCAACCGGCGGCGCCGTCACCGTCGACACCTGCTCATCCCAGCTCCTCTACGAGATTCAAGGCCCCTGGTACTTCAACTCCGACGTCACGGCCATCCTCAACGACGTCTACTTCGAACAAGTCGGAACCAACCGAGTCGCCGTGCACGGCATCCGCTCCGGACCACCACCACCTACCACCAAAGTCGGCATCACAGCCCGCGGCGGCTTCCAAGCCGAGGCGACTTGGTTCCTCGTCGGGCTCGACATCGACGCCAAAGCCCGCATGCTCGAAGCTCAAATCCGCCATCTCCTCTCCCCATACTCCTCCAAATTTACGGCCCTCCACTTCTCCACCCTGGGCTCCGCAGCCCCCAATCCCCAAGACCAAGACAGCGCCACCGTCTGCTTCCGCATCGTCGCCCAAGCCCGTCACGCCGACGACCTCTCCCCAATGCACTTCCTCCGCCACATCGTCGACAACATCATGCAAGGCTATCCGGGGGCCACCTTCCACCTCGACTCCCGACAAGGCTTCCCCCGTCCCATCTACGAATACCACGTCAGCCTCCTCCCCCAATCCTCCATCCACCACCGCGTCCACCTCCCCTGGCTTCACCAAACCCTCACCATCCCCCCTCCCCCAACCACCCAAACCTACCCACCCCATCAACCCTCCCAACCCATCACCTCCGCCCCTGACTCCATCCCCATCCCCACCCCCTCCTTCGGCCCAACCACCCCCGCCCCCCTGGGCTTGATCGTCCACGCCCGCTCCGGCGACAAAGGCCCCGACGCAAACTGCGGCTTCTGGGTCCGCCACAGCGACGAATACCTCTGGCTGCGAACCCTCCTCTCCATCCCCACGATCACGCTCCTCCTCGGCGAGAAATACACCTCCAATCCCGACCTGCGGATCGAGCGTTTCGAGCTCCCGAATCTGAGGGCCGTGCATTTCCTGTTTCGGAATTTGTTGGATCGGGGAGTGGGGGTGACGACTACGGTGGATTTCTTGGGGAAGAATGTGGCGGAGTTTTTGAGGGCCAGGGTTGTGGATGTTCCGGTGAGGTTTTTGGGGAGGGGGAGACTGTAGTTTGTTCGTGGTTGTTGGCATTGCTTGGGAGGATGAGTTGTTTTGTGGAAAGGGAAGGGTGGGTTGTTAGGGAGATGTATATGTAGCCCACTAGGAAGTAATTTCATCATGAACTCTCTCATCATGAGAATCGCTGGTTGGGCTACCGGTAGGGTCTAGGGGAATCAAAGACTTTACTCCTCAATTGAATATTGGATGAAAAATGATTGTTGAGCTGATATATGTGCTATGATATCTGACCTCCAACTCCAATCTAGTCCCGGTATCCCGTACCATCAACGCCTGAAATGCAATCAACTTCTCAGAACAACCTCCTATGTAGACATGCACTAGTAGATCAACACGAAAATATTTACCTCCGTCTGGCACTACTCGCCATAGGTTCAAACCCATCGCTATCATCATCGATATCACTGATCACACTCGTCCCTCTCGTGGCCCGCGTAGATCGAGTACCCGCCGTACCGCGCACGCTGGTCTGCGAGCCCACGAAATTCAACGTGGTCTGGGTTTGGGTTTGCTTTCCTCTGGTGCGGCGCGTAGCCGGTGCGGCGGCGAGGGTATTCGATGAAGGTGCAGGAGATGGGGCTTTGCGGCGCTGGCTGGGGGCACTGGATGCTTTGGAGGAGGGTGGTGCTGCTGTTCTGCGGGATCGGGTGGTGGGTTGCTTGACGAAGAGGGCTTGGGAGTCGTCGTCATCGTCGTCCTCTTCTTCTTCGTCTATGTTGGGGAGAGCGGCGTCATCGTCATCGTCGTTGTCGTCTACCATGATGACATCGTCGTCTTCATCTTCGTCGTCTGAGACGGTGCAGCGTTTGCGGCCTTTAGTGGTGGTGGTTTTGGAGGGAGTGGCTTTCTTTGCGGTAGTGGAGGTTGCTTTTGTGGTGGCGGTTTTACGTGTACTGGTAGTAGTGGTGGTGGCTCTGCCGCCACGGCCGCGGCCCCGACCGCGCGTGGATGTGGTTCGAGCTGGGGGTTCGGTGCCATCCTCGCCGGCTATGTCTGCGTTGGGGTCGCCGTCCTCGTTGTCGGAGTGAATGAGCGCACCCGGCTGGTCCTCCCAGACGCCATCAAACTCGGTGTCCCAGCCATCGGGCTTCGGTTTGAATCGCTTCTTGCCCCGTGTGCGTTTTTTGATGCCTTGTGAGAACATGTCTTCCATCTGCGAGCGGTACTTGTCCATGGCTTTTTGTAACGAGCTCTCGGCAGCTTCGTCTTCGTCCATGTCGTCTTCGCGGTCTAGAGCCATCAGATGCTTGATCTGGCTCTCGAGCGACTCGTTGACGAACATTTCCAGAGCGTGTTTGTCATCTTTGTCGATGAATTGAGCGACCGCGTCGCCGAAAGAGTTCTGTGGGAGGATAGTCAAAGACTGCGCGGAGAGGAAATCGCGCACCAACTGCTCGACCTTGACGGTGTCCAGAGCAGAGAGATGGGAAACGGCCGCCTCGTCAAGGTCTTTATCCGCATCCTTGGTGCGTGTGACGTTCTTCTTCTTGCGGTAAAATTGAACGACGTCATTCACGTTGGCCACCTTGCCCACGAAGCGATTTGAGAATCGTTGGGGGTTCTCGCAGTCATATGTGCCCCCGTCTGGCGTGGAAGTCTCAACGCGCAGTCGCACCAGTGGTAGCGGGACTTCTAGCTCCTCATCCTCGGCATGGTCTTCCTGCATTTCCAGCCATTCCGCCTTCGCTTCTTCGATGAGTTCCTCGACGATCGACATGAGAAAGCGGGTGACTTCCGTTCGGTTGTTCTCCTTGCGGGCGAGCTTCTGCGCGCCTTTCTCCTCGGAAAGAACAATTTCGCGCATGGCGAATGGACGAACGGACTTGAGGCGGATGGGCTCACATTTGAACTCCCGACCTGTGACGCTGAGGATCGCGACATGCTTGGCCACTGCTTCGCCGGGGACCAAGGAGGTCGCAACCGACGAGCCGGGCTGCATGACGTGAAACTTGGTCTCGGGGTTCATCCGAGGATTGATCAGACATTCGTGTTCATGCCCCCAGATGACGAGATCCAGAAATTCGGGCAAGAAATTCTCGGGCAAGTAGCCCGTTTCGGTGTGTGCGTAGTGGTTCTGGTGGACACAGATCAAGTTGAACCAGTCGTCTTTCTGGATTGAGGGCTGGTAGAACTTGACCTTGTTATCCCGAAACGTGCGGAACAAGCGCTCATCGCGGACATTACTCATGCCGTAAAGGGCAAGCTTGGTGCGTCCTTTCTGAAGCAAGACCGGCTTGATCTGGATATTATCCGACTCGGGTGTCCGCCCGTAGTAGTTAAGCAAACCCGATACCTGCAGAAGGTCCAGCGCGGCCAGATGCCCTTCTCCGGACGGATCATCGTGGTTCCCATGGATCGAAAAGATGGGGATAGCCACGTTGATGTCCAGATCTTCGTAATTTACATGGTTAAATGCTCCCTGGAAATTTTCGCTAGCATCACTAAGCATCTCCAGTTCACAAGGCTTATCGCCCAGGCAGTTCATGCGGATGGAGCGCATGACTTGGTACATGGACTTCCGCGAGGGTTTGTTCTCATGGAAGAGGTCCCCTGCCAGGAGCACCATGTCCACGTCGTGTTCCTTGGCCAGGCACATTACTTCATGGAAGCTTTTCCAGCTATCATCCCCGCGGATGGGGTCCCGTTCATTGTATCCGACATGATTATCGGTTGAGACGAGGATGCGGATCGTTTCCGCGTCTGGATCCATCAGCAACGGGTTCGTCACGGGCAGGATTGGGAGGGATTTACGCACCACCTAAGATGGGCATGTTGTTAAGATCGAATATGCATCGATGCCAACCGGAAACGGGAGGGGGAAGAAGTTGGAGAGAAAGTCCGAAGTAAAAGAAGGTGGGGCGTATAAAAGCAGGAAGATGGCGGACAACAACTAGTCAGTAGCCGGCAGGCTACCGTGGAGGAAGGCTGCCTGGAGACACGATCGATCAACGTCGTCACGCGCCCACGATGGTATAGCCCAGCTTTTTCCGCCGTGGTCTGTCGTAACTCGTTATCGATCGTATACTCGAAGGAAAAGAAGGCCTTCGCGCCTCCGCGGCGGCGGCGCGTGAGCACGTGACGGGCACGCGGCGGGAAGGCGGCCTCTGATTCATCGACGGGATTGCAGCGAGTTACTTCCAGGATTCCCTCGTCGTCGGATCTCCGGACTATCTTCGTCCTCTTTCGCCCTGTGACTCTTGTCCCCCTCCCCTCCTTGTCCCTCCCTCGCATCCCCCGGTGTCCTACCTCGCATCGCATCGCATTACATCGCACGTTTTCTCTGTCCATCCTTCGCCGCCCGCCTTCTTTCCCGACTGATCCAGAATTCGTCCCTGGTTCAGTCGCCTCCATCGTCCCAGTTACCCCGCGAAACTCTTTTATGCAATCCGAGCCTACTGCAGTTTTCGACCGCTCGCCTTTGCTAGACCCGCCGTCAGAAGTGTTTCTTGATCCTACCCAGCATGGAAATGATTCGCATGGTGAGCACCGAGTCTCTGGGCTTGGGTATCAGGAGCCCGCGGACTCTAGTGGCGGCTTTGACTCATCCGCGGTCGGCCAGCACTCGCCCTTGAAGGCGACAGAGTCTGCGCTGTTGATCGACCCCGTTACTCAATATGAGAATGCCATCGCTCAGTCGCCCCGGAAAGAGGAGGAAGTTAAATTCAAGGTGAAACCGTCACCCATCTACTTGGGGGTGTCCCTAGATGCTTTCCCGAATGGTTTGTCGCCCCATATGCCGGGTCCGCAATGACAGTCTAACAAACTGATTCCGGTAGAGGTGCTGACGCACATCCTTTCGCATCTGCCTCCGCCTTCCCTGTCGTCGATGGCCCTGGTGTCTCGTCGGTTTCACAGTCTGGTCACTACGCCTCACGCGTGGAGAATTGCCTTCTCGCGCTACTTCCCCGGCCCGTATACGGTGGAGGATGGCGCGTGGCTCTCCGCAGCGAACCCAGCCGAAAGGGTGATTTCCGACAAGCGGTATTTCTCGAGGCTGACTGCACTGGCTTCCTGGAGAAGCGAATACATCCTGAGAACTCGCTTGCTGAGGTCACTCTCAAGAGGCAAACCGGCGGACTTCGAGCCTTCCAAGAAAGCCGGTACGGTGCGATCAGCTAGCGTCCGTAATGGCAGTGCTGTAGTCACCTATACTTCCCAGCTTCTGTATCCCGTCAGTCACCTACATGGGTCGTTCGGAACAGAAGTCACGAAGAAAGAACCTCTTTTCATTCATGGCGCTTCTGAGCAAGGGTTCGCGTCGGCTAGCGACCCCTCGTCGGTCAAGGTTGGCACCTGGGGATTATCAGATCACCAGTTCTTCCGACACTTTGCAGACCTGTTCCCAGGAGATGCTGAGTATGGCTTGGGCTCCGGTGAACTTGTCGGAGCCCCCAATCGCATGGATGTCAGCCAGCCTTATGGTATGATATATGGCGAGGCGTGCCCTCAGGGGCGTAGCTATTTTATCTCGACCACGGAACAACGCGGGAGGTTTCTGGGCGTCGCAGATTCCAGTTCGCAGCCGCGTCTGGGTATCCCTGCGCTCAACATGATCGCAACCGGTGTCACCGCGGTGTGGATAGCCAAGTCCTCCAATCTTCTCAAGATGACTGGCGGCCTCGTTGCGATGTTGTCTGGCTCTTCCACTGGAATTCTCACGGCCTATGCCCTTGGGCCCCATCCTACCTATGAAAAACGGTATGAGAGAGGCCAAGTGACTGCGAAATGGGTCCTGTGCCCCGGTGTACCTATTATCGCCATTGCTGTTGATGATAGCTATTCTCCTAAACGTCATTCCCGTCGGCGAATCTGGGCGACAGTCTTGAACGCCTTGGGAGAGGTCTTCTACTTATCTGACATCCCACGGCAGCCCGACGTGCCTTCCACCAAACTGACTGCCGAGGAGTATGAGCAGTTAGCGTGGAAGACGGGTCGGAGTGTGCGCTGGGAGCTTGTTGAGTTGAGCAGACGGACTGCGCGCCCCGATCCGTTCAATCGTGACCTTGTCGATGGGAGCTACAGCCCTCGTTCGTCATCGGATGCAATGAAACTCCATGAGGACCAGATAGCCGCAGAGACAAAGGAGATCGAGCGCTTCCTGTCTTTCAAGCCGAAGCATTTTCAGAAAGTTTGTGAGGGCTGGGATATGCGGCGCGAACTGAAAGTCGACTTTGCTGGAGATGATGGCTCTGGAGCTGGTGAGGCAGTCCTTGTGGTTTCCCGAGGCATCGGAGACGATGAGAAGGCCTCGATTCGTAGGTACACCAGAACGGTGTCGAAGCATGGCTCAGCAACGGCGAATCATGGGCACGGCTCCCTGAGTGCTGATAGCATTACTGGACCTTCCATCTTCGGTGGACCTGTGAAGTCTCCTATCTTGCCTTCTGTGAGCAGCGCAAGCAGTGTGCCTTCGTCCCGCGCTTCCAGCCGCGTCAGTGAGTCTATCTGTTCGATCACGAACACCGAATGGCGCATCACGGATTTCAATTTTGGTGATCGGAAATCGGTCCAGATCACTACCAGCGCACTGGATCTCTCGACCTATGCTCTGTTGACCACTGATGAGGATCCTCTCATTGGCATGTCAGGTAGCTCTGCCCTGTCTTCGGAGATGTCTTCCCCGCTTCCCCATATGAAGCAAGCGCCTGGTAGTGCAGAAGTCCCTGGTCAACGGGGACGATACATGGCTGTGGGCACCGCTGCGGGAATGGTCTTCGTCTGGGACATACGTTCGCCCACGTCCAAGAATTCCGACATCATCAATGTCGTTTCGCCTATTCGAGTCATTCAGACGGAGTCGCCCCAAGTCTCTAGTGTAGCCTTGACATCGCTGTACCTAGTCCATGGTGGAAACGATGGACTCGTTCAGGCCTGGGATCCGCTCGCTTCGTCTACTCGACCAATCCGTACTATCAATTCGCGCTTCTCTACTCGCGCCCGGCGTCGACTGGTTCAAGCCGAAGCATCCGTTCAGGGTATTGGCAACAACTACTATGCCACGGGCGCTATCTGTCTGGACCCAGATCCGACCGTCCTGCGGGGCATGGTCGCTCTGGGAACACACCTGCGCTACTGGTCCTACAGCTCCTCCGCCGCCGACCAATACAAGTCCAGCAAGCGCCGGCTTCGTCGCGGCCCAAGAGGCAGCAACGCTACCCCCGAGGGCCAGCGATTCAGCACGAGCGGCCGCGGTGCACTCAAAGACTTCATCGAGGACGAAAAGATTGAAATGGATCGCCAAAAGGTTGCCGACGCGAAAGAGCGCGCCCACCTCAGCCACCGCTTCGGCATCGATCTCCTCGGCCCCGACATCGATGAAGACCAGCTCCTCGCGTACGCGCAACTCCTCAGCGAAGAAGCCTACTCCAGCGAAGCCGTGAAACGCGGCGAAGTAGTCGAGGGCTCGGTATCGAGCACCTCGCCCAGCGACACCATCGGCCCGAACGACAGCTCTGTCGCACCAGACGAGCTATCCTCCGCATCATCGCCCTATGAAGACTTCGCCGACGACGACCTAGAGCCAGACATCGCCGAAGCCATCCGTCTCAGTCTGCTTGAGGAGGAAAAGTCCAGCCCTGCCTCCGGCATGGACTCCTTCGACCCGCCATCCCCATCCGGCCCAGCCGTCGCGGAAAGCAGTCGCCAGCAAGAAATCGATGATCTCGAGTTCGCAATCCAGCTCAGTCTCGCCGAGGCCGAGAGCCAGGGTCAACCAGTTGAACCGAGAGAGGAGTTCCCCGTCCTTTCGGGACGAGCACCATCTCCGAGGAAAGACAAGGGCAAGGGCCGAGCTTTGTGATTTGATTGATAGACTTTGTGATTTATTATATTACTGTGCATTTGGTGTATTGTACTGTGATCTTTTTGATGTCGATGCTGCTATTTAGGGATGTGTGATACGGGCTGTGCTATATCAGACTGTTGGTAATCTTGTTGAAAATAAGTCAGTTGTGCCATGTTGTGCCACTTGCAAATGCCGCGGAGGGTCATTGCTTCCTGTAGACCCAGTGACGTCATGGGCGTATGTTGTGTATAACACGGTACAAGATCACCTGATCTCAGTACACGTCGTATGATTCCAGGCTTGTTTACGATATAAGGTGCTCTACGCAAGATTCATTAGCAAACCGATATATATACAGCAGGTATATTATAATAAGACGTCATCGAAATCATATCCCGAGTCAAACTGCCCACTACCACTTGGCTCTATTCGGGGACCTCACTCTATACATGTGGGACAAGCATCTTGGAACAACGGTCATGGTCATGATGGGTGAGAACAAGCTCGCCGGGAACAGAATGGGATAAAATCAATCAACAAGAGGGAGTTCAGAATGTAAAGCGCACAAGCATGTCTAAGACGAGTAAAATTACAGCAGGAAGACGGCGAACAAAGTGGCGCCCGTCAGCAGCCCCATGAAGGAGGCAGACAGATGACCACCGGCGGCACCGCTGATCGAGCTGGCCGCGGAGCTAGACGTAGACGTCGACGCGGAGGCCGAGCCGGAAGCAGAAGAGGAGCTGGAGGTGGAGTTGGAGCTCGAGGGGCTGCTCGTGAGCGAAGTCGAGTTGTTGGGAGTGTTGGACTCGTCGCTGGACAGAACAGTGTACTTGACGCTCGAGACCTTGTTGCCGTTGTAGTCGTAGATGGTCTGGGGGATGGAGGTGGACGAGACGGAGACGAGCGTGCCGGCGGTGACATTGGTGTAGCCGCTCTTGATCCAGTCCGCAACCTTGGAGGGGCGGGTGGGCAGGTCCCAGGAGTTCAAGAAGGTCGAGTTGGTGATCAGGGAGGCGCTGCAGGTCACGGGCTCCTGGGAGGTCTGGGTCGAGTTGGAGGACTCGATGCTGCTCATATCCAGCTTAGCGAACTGCTTCTCGAGGTACGCGTAGTCGATGAGCAGAGTGGCAGTGTCGCTGCTGTTGATGGCAACGAGACCGTAGTCATTGGCTTCCTGGGTCCACTCGTAGACCAGACCACCGGAGAAGACCTGGTCCATCTCGTCGCCGTAGAGGGCCTGCACCTCAGTGAAGGTACGGGGCGTGACGGCGTTGCAACCATACTCGGAGAAGAAAACGGGCAGGGAGGCGTTCGCGAAGTCCTCGGTCAGGACGTCATATCCGGACTCCTTGTAGGTAGAATCGCCACACCACGAGTACGAGTTGAGGCCGAAGAAGTCGGAGCGAGAGCTGGTCGAGTTCTCCAGGTTGCACATGAAGTAGTCCAGGGTATCGAGCAGGATGGGGCGCACATCAGCGGCGGAGTAACCCACGGGAATGGTCCGGTTCGCGTTGGCGGAGATGTAATCCTTCATGTCACGCACGACGGCCTGGCAAGGATATCAGCCACCCAACGTTCTCAAAACACATGACGTGACATCGAGGAACTTACACGAACGTAGGCAGGAGCCTCGTAGACACTCTGCTCGTTGATCACCTCGTTACCGGCGAAGAAACCCAGAGTGTTGGGGAAGTTCTTGAAGGACTCGATGACACCGAAGACCTGCTCGAAGTAGACGGAGTTGTAGGTGCTCTCCGGGTCGGTGCGGTCGAGCGAGCCGCCCGAGAGAGGCGAATTCACATCAAGGATCATGTAGATACCGGCACCGTTGAAGATGGAGGCACACTTGCTGTGGTCAACATCGGGAGACAGGTTGTACACACGGATGGTGTTGACCTGCGCGGCACGACGTTAGAGGGGACAGCGTGACATCCAGTAGGGAAGGGGACCTACACCCAGGCTCTGCATGAGGGCAGCATCCCGCAAGCAGGCATCAGCGTCGCCCAAGGGATCTTCAGTGGAACTGAAGCCGGAGGAGCCACCGGGCTGGTAGCTGTTGCGCGAAGAGCACACGGTCAACTTTCGAACGTCTCCATCAATCTGGGCCGGGAAAGGCTTACTCGACACCGAGGATCTGGAAGCGGTCTCCAGTCTTGCTGTTGACAAAATCCGAGCCCTTGACCTCAATGGGGGTCACGGCACTGGCGGTGGTCGCAAAGGCGCACGCCGCGGCGAACAGTTGAGCTTTAGTCTGCGCCGATTAGCCGGGATTCCCAATCACGATCGCGAGGGCACTAACGGGAACCATCGTGAATGGGGGGCGAACGACCGCTGTCGGCGCTGCAATGAACTGTCTAGTATATGAAGCGAGAGGATGGAGTCTTCCACAGGAAGATCCGAGGGAGATTGATTTGGGCTAAAGGAATGACGGAGGATGAAAACCCTCAAAAGCAAGGCAATGAACGAAGGAAAGCGCGGGGGGGGGATGCTGAACTGGCAGGCACGAGGAAACCAGAAAAACCGGGTAAGACATGGCCGGCGAAACATGGTATAAAAAACCAGGCAAGGACCAGGGCCAGGAGACCCTCAGGGACCAACAGGAGAAGGAGGGTCATCTGGTAATCTCCCTGCGATTCGAGATTGATTGCCGAACCTCGACAAGTGGAGGCTGCTAGTCGCGGCTAATCTCCATAGCGTCTTGTCGCTCCCCAGTTGGCGCCCCATCATTGGCCTTGTCCGGCCCCATCTGCACGACGGCGGCCTCAGAATCAAGGTGCGACGAGGGTAGCAGTCCAACCGGCCGCCGTTGATCTGGCTGGTTGCTGGTTGCTGGTCCCTGGCCCCAAATGAAGGAGGGTGAGCCGATTACGCATGCCCTCGTTTAATTCCGGGGCGGCTTTGATGACTAGATCCGTGCACCGCCAGCCATGACGATCATTATCATTCGATTTTCACATTCAACAAATCGTCGTTTTGTTGTCGGAGTGACCTATTCACTACCGACTCCTACTTCTTCGCGCGTCTAAGAATACATACCCAGGAGTCCATCCCATCGGGGGACGGGCGAGGGAAGAAGTTATTACCGGCCCCGGAGAGACTCGGATCATTGGCAGTCCGTTCAGGCCCGGAATGACAAGGGAGAACCCAAGGGGGAAAAGAAAAAAGCAGTCATGGCGCCGAAAAATTCCAACAGAGTCCGCCAGGTCGGCGGTCCAGACACAATGCACATATACAGGGAAAGCTGGGAAAGGAAAGGTGAAAAAAGTACACGAGTAGCGGAGAGGGGATGGGCGTGACAAGAGCGTGGACGGAGATTTCACACCAGTCCGCCTTGACAGAGGACCAGGCCACGGCCCAGCGTGAACCGGATATTATAAGAGACACACGTTCCAGGCCAGGGTTCTGATGCCGGAGGGTACGGGTGGGTGAACGAAGCAGGAGGGAGAGTTGGGCCGGGGTCGAAGGTCATGGTGGAATTTACTCGACACCATGGCTCTCGGCGGGAGCACCCTCGCCGGTGAATGTGCCCAGCTTCAAGCCGGCGTCCAGGGCGACCATCTCGGCCAGGATCTCCAGCACTTCCTTGGGCACCGTCTTGTCGTAGATCGAGATCAGGTCCTTGGGCTGGGGGTAGACCTTCAGGGCCTTGTAGAAGCACAGAGCAGCTTCAATCGGGTCTGTAGCGCGGTTGGTATGTGAATCGCCAGTGGGCGGATGGTGAAGGGAGGGATAAAAAAATCATCCCAGGGAGCCCGCGTGTCCGAGGAAGCGCGTCGCGGCGGGAGACATACCTTCGCCAGTGAGAGCCTCTCCCTGAGCGACCTGGCTCATGAAGTAGGACTCCTTATCCTCCAGATCCGTGGGGAAGCCTTCGTCCTTGGCCTGCTGCACGACCTTCTTGATGACCTCGCGCTGCATGGCACCCTGGGCCTCGGCCTCCTCCTTGACAGCCCTTTCCATCCGGCGGTTGTTCCGCTTGAGAGCTTTGCGGAACTCGGGGTCTGTCTGTCTCTTGTGATCAAAGTAGACGGCGTAGGCTACGTAGAGCACGAAAGGCGATCAGCATATCAGCATGGAGATCCTCGGGATCTGGTTCCGTGGATGGCCTGGTTGGTCCTTACCCAGAAGGCCGGTGACGATTGTGCCGGCAGTTGCGGCCACCAAGGTTGACGTCCTCATGATGGATGGATGGGAGAATGTGAAGTGGGGAGCGCAGAAGATCTGGAAAGAAGGGCAAGATGCGGAGGGGGGAACGGAGAGGGAATCCGGGACTGGTCTGGGGGAGCAGAAGATGAGCTGAAGCAGACAAGGACCAGCAGACAGAAAGATGACGGCGATTCTTTTGCTGCCCGGATAATTTTGCCGGGATCATCGTTGTTCCGCCTCGGGGTTTCTGTCCCGCTTGAGCTTGTGCTCTCCTCATACTCTCTGCTATACATACATTCCTCCCCTCCTCCCCAACGCTTCTTCTCAGATTGCAGGCTCAATCTTCCCCTTGTCATCGGTTCCTCTTCTCCCACCATGGAAAGCCGTGGCTTGACCCTCCGGAGCAAGTCCCGCCGCCCCCGGCCTCAGATCAGTGCTCCGCAACCCATCTCCGGCCCTCTGCCGACCAACGGCAGTAAGGGTGTCGCTGCTCCTGGACAGATTACCGCTTCTCCCAGCTCGACTTCTCTGGAACGGGGTCCCCCAAAGGATGCGACATCTGATCTCGTCAAGCGCCGCTATTCCACCCGTTTCAACCAAATTCCCGACTTCGATGCCAGCGCCCCGCCGGTGCCGGGCCTGCCCAAGGCACCAGCCACGTATGGCGGGCTCAGCCCACCCGAGACCAGTCGGAGACCCTCGACGGAGTCTTCTGGGCCCCCCAAAGTCGATCTGAATGCCCTCCGGGATCCTAGCCTTCCGGTCGATAAGTGTGAGTGCCGCTTGAGATTGTTCCCGTGCTTCCCGTCCTCTTCGGGTGCTAACGTGGCACCAATCCGTCCCAGACGTCGCCAACCTACTCGCCAATGCCTCGGAAGAAGAGATCGAGGAATACCAGAAGAGCCTCCGGAAGGTCAAGAACCGGACATCCACCGATCTGCAGCAAAATGTGTACCAGAATCGCACCCAATTCATCAAGATCAGTAAAGAGGCGGAGAAGCTCAAAGGGGAAATGCGCACCCTCCGCACTTTGATGGCGGAACTCACTACCGCGCTCGGACAGACCACCGTTGGCAACACCCCGAATCCCATGTCTCCCACCGTCGACGAATACATGCCCAAGCGCAATGCCAACCGCAGCTCCGTCGCGAATCTGGAGAGCATGTGGAACGTCCAGCTCCAGACCCTCTGGAAGACGGTGGAAGGCTCCCAGAAGTTCCTTCCCGTGGCTCCCGGCCGGCATATTGTGATGGAGACCGGACATTGGGTTGAGTTAGACTCGGCGACGTGGAAGCCCCGGCGACCGGTTCACATTGTGCTGCTGAACGACCACCTGCTGATAGCTGCAAAGAAGCGCAAGCGGGTGGATCAGAGCAGCCATCGCGGGCCGGTCCCCACCAAGCTGGTTGCGGAAGAGTGTTGGCCCTTGCAAGATGTCGACATGATTGATCTCGGCGCTAATCTCAGCGCGGGGGGCGCTCGAGAAGAAGCGGAAGATCGCGGGATAGCGAACGCGATCAATGTCCGCGTGGGTGGAAAGCCGTTCACCTATCGTCACGACAAGCGGGACAGCTCGGCCAAAGGTGATCTGCTCGCGACGTTCCGCAAGACTGTCGAGGATCTCCGCCGTACACTCCGCTCGGAAACCGAGGCCGCTAGCAAATCCACGGAGTCATTCGGCTACTTGGGCGGCCGGCGCCCCTCTTATTCCCCCAAGCCGGACCAGTACGACGGTGGCGAAAGCTCGCATGACCAGCCAGAGGTGCGCATTGACGTGGACGGGAAACAGCAGAATCTCCGTTGGGTCGACGGGCAGGTGGACGAGCTGGACATCGACATTGCCCTCCAACGGTTCGAGGAGGCCGTGGCCAACATCGAGCGGCTGCGCAAGCTTGCCAAGGGCCTGAAGGGCAATGCGGTCGCGCAGGACGTGATCAACGCCAAGGTCGATGAGCGCGCCGCCAGCCTGGCTGAGGTTCTCCTGCGATCGCTTGTGGACACCCACTCGTTCCCGGTGGCCACCAAGAACAAAGTCTCCTGGCTCACGCGTCTGGGCTTTGAAGATCAAGCCCGGGAGGCTTATCTCAAGACTCGCACGGAGATCATCACCAAACGAATCCGGTATGTCCCCTCTCTTTTTCATGGCACCCAAGTGAACCCAGCCTCTAACCCCTGACAGCGCCTGCATCTTCGAGGGTGACCTCCCCCTCTACATCTTTCAAATCTCCTACGTCTACTTCACCCTGATCAAGAACACTATCAGTATCTACCAACAGTGCTTCCCGCCGGTCATGTCCAGTGCCAGCATCCGCTGGGCAAAACACCATCTTGACGGCTTCAATGCCCTGCTCACCCGCCAGCTCAGCAGCGTCCAACGCGGCACAACCGTCTGGCAGAAATGCATTGACATTGTGCGCGAACACGCCAATCTCCTGGCCGAGGTGGGCGTGGACTTTACTGACCTCGTCGCGAAAGACCTGGAGACCGGTGAGGAGTTCACCGAACGACCTCAGATGACCCGGTCTGAGTCTCTGATCTCCGGGCTAGCGGACACGGCAGCAGCTGCCATGATTATCTAGAAGCGATGCGTGTATAGTTTTTTTTTTTTTTTTTGCCTTTTTTGCATCTGGCACATTCCATTCCCCTTCATAGCCTCAGGAGGCTATGGATTTTTGTTCAAATGTTGTTGCATTGTTCACATGCAGGCATGGTTAATGCTCATGCCTCATGTTTTCTTCCAGCATCTTCCAGCAGTCTGTTCGATATAGACCCATTCGTCCGAGCCGTAATCCAGAATGAACCGATGTTGTTCTTGTCTCGCATTCTCTAGATCTTTTTGTCTGCACTCCCATGCAATCTGGGTCCAGCGATGTACCTTGCGCTATGGAGTAGATCAAGCAGCAATCGTTCAACCCCTTTCAGTGAAACCCAATGTACTTTTGCAGCCAAGACACATAAATATAAAGAATGCTACTCGAATCCTAGTAGTACTACTACTAGTTAGTATATCCTCCTTCAACGACTTTCTCTCAGACACCTTGTCCACATGACTGACACCTGCCTGATCTCGTAGTCTATCATTCCTGTCAGGTATAAGATATGCTGCAACAGTATCTAACTGTGAGATGGAGATCCTGAAGGCAGCACAAAACCCCCGAACTCGGCTCACACCAAAAGCCAGGAACACGTGCGGTCACGTGAAGATAGGAAGCTGGATGATGGCTGCAGGTCACCCTGCAGGTCAGCAACTTTCCTCTTCCATTCCATTGCTATCGGTCATTGTTTTGCTGGCATTACTGACTCGCCAGAGAACCGTCTGGCTAGGACCCATGTGGCCGGCTCAGATTCTGATATCTAGCCATGGCCGTGATCATTTGATATGAGCGGCCTCTGCTGTGCGGTTTACGCAAAGAATTTCTACCTTCATCATTCATCAGTGCTACCCCCAGAATTTCCAAGCTACCACAGTTTTCAGAGCAATTGAGAGCGCCGCAGAATCGCCATGGATGCTCACCCAGCATGCCTCAACGGACGACATCCGCGTACCACCTTCGGAACCCAGATCTGGCCGCCGAAGTGCGGGCCCCAACAGTTTCGGCCCCAAAAACAGCAGTGGAAACTCCGAAGTGATAAGCCCCGGCTAAGATTATTACGTTCAGACGCAACAGCGAGTGGGTTCATCCCCTCCATTGCCCACCATTTGGAGCTGGCTCCCTTGCTTCTCTTTTTTTTTCTCTTTCCCTCTCCTTCTTTTCTTCCCTCTGATCTGCTTCCCCCTTCTGTCGTCAATTCGAAATAATCTTTCCGCTGCATCAATATGGGGCTCACCACGCCACTCAATGGCCAATCTATAGGGTGGGTGTCTTCTCCGAACCTTATCCGCGACTCGCGGTAGCCCTACTCCCTACTCAGTACTCACCTCCAACCCGTTGCGCAGGCACAACGCTGAACACCTGCCCCTCCCTTTGACGGCCCTCCCATCTCTACCCCTGTTTCTGGAGGCAACCGCCCATGCGCAGAACACTCCAGACAAGATCGCCGTCGTGGATGCCACCAAGGGGCAGCAGTTCACATTCGGGCAACTTTTGGCCGATGCGGCCACTTTGAAGAAGGTCATTTTGGAGAAGCTGGATCTCACCGAAACGGCCAACTTGGAAGAGCGACGCATCACGTTCTTGACGCCGAATGGATACGACTACGTGGTTACGCAATGGGCCGTCTGGGCTGCCGGGGGCGTCACGGTCCCGCTTTGTATGTCCAACCCGTGCCACCCTGAACAGGCATTGCGCTGCAATGGCCGAGTATGATTGCTGACTGGCGGCCCGATCAAGGCAACACACACCCGGTCAAGGAGCTGCTCTACACAATTGGCGATTCTGACCCATCATTGATCATCCTGCACCCCGCATTTGAGAAGTTCGAGGCGCCGCTGCGGGAGGGGATTACCAAAGAGATCCCATTCATGACCCTAACACCATTCCAGCAGAGAGATGGACCCGTGTCGCTGCCCGAAATCAGCCCGGTGTCGTTCCTGGAACGTCGGGCGCTCATGATCTACACGTCGGGAACGACCTCCACCCCCAAGGGCTGTGTCACCACGCACAAGAACATCACCTTCCAGGCCAAGAGTCTCATTGAGGCGTGGCAGTACAGCTCCTCGGACCGACTCATCCACGTTCTTCCGCTCCACCACATTCATGGCATCATCAACGGTCTGACGGCCAGCTTGCTCAGCGGCGTCACGGTTGAGATGCACCCCAAGTTCGACCCCAAGACGATTTGGGGGCGCTGGGAAGAAGGAGGCTCCACCATGTTCTTCGCGGTGCCGACCATCTATTCCCGCCTCGTCGATTACTTCGAAGCAAACATTCGGGGCACCGAACATGAGCAGGCTGCGCGAGCCGGAGCCAAGGCGCTGCGGCTGATGGTCAGCGGATCCGCGGCCCTCCCCACGCCTATCAAGAGCAAGTTTGCCGCGATCACGGGTCAGGTCCTTCTTGAGCGGTTCGGCATGACGGAAATTGGCATGGGAATCAGCTGCGGACTGGACGTGGACAAGCGCATCGACGGCAGTGTGGGCTGGGCGCTCCCGGGCGTGCAGGTGCGACTCACGGACAAGGAGACCGGACGGGTTATCGATACCGTGGATGAGGACGGCATGATTGAGATCAAGGGAGGCAACGTCTTCCTCGAATACTGGCGCCGGCCGGAGGCGACGAGCAAGGAGTTCACCTCGGACGGATGGTTCAAGACGGGCGATGTGGCCCGGCGGGATAGCAACGGCGCGTACTACATCCAGGGCCGTGCGTCGGTGGACCTGATCAAATCGGGTGGATACAAGATCTCAGCGCTGGAGGTGGAGCGCAAGATGCTTGCCATGGATGCCATCCAAGAGGTGGCGGTGGTGGGACTCGCGGACGAGGAATGGGGGCAGCGGGTGGCCGCAGTGGTCAAGCAGCGGGCCGGGGTAAGTCGCATGATGCCTGCATTAGATTTGTTGATTCCATACTAACGTTGTCCAGACCGAGCCGTTGGAGCTGGCGAGTCTGCGCACGGAGCTCAAGCAGGAGATGGCGCCGTACAAGATCCCGACGGTGCTGAAGCTGGTGGATGCCATTGAGCGCAACGCGATGGGCAAGGTGAACAAGAAGACGCTTGTGAAGAAGTACTGGCCGGAGCTGGCCTAGACGCCTCCATAATCCATTAATGCATGATACCATGATACCATTCCACTCCTCATCCTCAATCATCCTTCAACAAGTCCACCACCGCCTGATACGCCCTTTCCCTCTCGTCCCATTCCTTGGTCCCCTTCTTGGCGATCTTGTCCCACGCATGCCCACACCCCTGCACCCTGATCATCCGCACTTTCCGTCCCGGTGGTGCCATCAACCGCCGGCCCAAGTCCTCCGTCTCCCTCGCCAACGAATCCCACTCACACGTAACAAACAGACATCGTTCCGGAAACCCAGCCAACCTCGCCCCCGCCCATCCCGGCGAGACTCTGTCATCCTCCTCCAGCTTTTCCCCCGGTTTGCGGCCAGGCACTCCGCTCCTCAAATAACACGTCCGATAAAACCCCATTAACCATGCCGGCAACACACCCCCTATCCCCTTCTTCATCTTTCTGTCCCCGTCTCTACCCATCCTTCTTCCCTTCTCCTTATCCGAAATCGTCCCATCCACGACCGGATAAAACGCCACGAGGGTCCCAATCCTCGTGCCCGGAGAATGTGCCGCCACCGACGCAGCCAAGTTCCCTCCCGCACTGAACCCGCAGATGGCAATCTTGGTCTGATCGAATTGTTCCGGGTGGGAGTGAACGTATCCTAGCACGTCGACGATGTCCTCGAGGGCGGCGGGGAAAGGATGTTCGGGGGCGAGCCGATAGTTGATGTCCAGGACGGTGTAGCGAGTGTGGGTTGTGATGTTGGTGATAAAAGGTTCGTCGATGCCATGCGAGGGAAGGATGAAGCCGCTGCCGCTGACGTTGAGGAGAACTGGGGACGGGGTGGCGGACGTGGATGAGGTCGAGGAAGCGTAGAGATGGACGGGGATTGAGCGGTTCGAGGTGCGCGCGGGGAGGGAGAGGATGCGGGTGGGATGAGGAGGGGGGATCGGGTAGGCGTGTTTGGCGTAGAGGCGGAGGAGGCAGGTGAGGGATTTGAGTACGATGTAGGGGGGCATTTTGTTTGAAGGGGTAAAGAATAGCTGTGGTGGTGAGTTAGGGACTGAGAAGAGATGAATGCGGAGATGGAGGGTGGGAGGAGGAAGAAGAGGAAGAGGCAGACATACATGTCAGTTGAGGAGTGGAGGGGTTGGGGAGGAAGGTGCATGGCAATGGCCGATGGCTGTTCATCCTGGGTTCACCATTCATATGTCGTTGTCTCTCATCCATGCACATCCATTCTGCTTATCCTCCGAGGTATAGGAATATGGTCTAGTGGTGAGTGGTGATAGTAGTATCTCAATCATTTGATCTAGCTGACTCTTTCAATATTGTCCTGCTGTGCAGAGCTTCTCTGGAAAAGACCACCGGTATACACTCTCCTGAGGGATGAATGGTTCCTTCTTTGTAAATCAGCGCGACTGCCAGATACTCCCCCGGATTGCCCTATCGGACCAGCCGAAGCGCTTTGGCGCTTTGGCCGGTCTACTACTAGTTGAGATATAAGACAAAATCTTTAATTGAGATTGAATTACAGTAACATAACACACGACATAGATAATACCGAAACATAAGACCAGGGGACAGCGTACCCCACAACAATATTTAGAGGTGAATCTAATCTTACGATCTAAAATACAGTTTCATATACCGTGCATCATTCAACGGCCCTCAAATTACCAGGGGACCCTCAATAGAAAATCTAAGCTAAGGCCTTGGCAGTGGGGCCTGAGAAAAGAAAAGCAATCGAAAGGGTAGAAGCCGTTTTCGCTATTCACCGTACTGTACCCTTGCTTTAGATTTACATATCAACGTACATGTTCTGATTTATATGACATTCTATGATGATAGATTCATGGAAAGTTTCAATCTCTGTACATAGCCGCTGCTTCTTATGATTAGATTGGCATTATTCCGAGACGCCTTCACATGACCAAACAGGCGCAGGCTATAGACATGCCACCTAATTGTACTCTCATTGCAGCCAGCAGCCTTAGCCATCTGGGAGGGGGTGAGTTCATTACTCATTATCATACCATGGATAAACCCCACGGTTGATGGGGCTGGATTGGGTGCCATCCTGCATTGTTGACCGAGTATGATCAACAAGACCTTCCAGGAGATCTTCGAGTGAACTGAGCGAGGATATCAAGGTGGGGTTATGGAGGTATCTGTTGTATGATTGATACACGTAATGTGAAGCTGTCTTTATGGTGCCTTTCTTGACCATCCGCCTCTTTTTGGGTGGGCCCGTTAATAACTTACTTCCACCTAACCTCAACGGAGAAAGCAGTCTCATGCTGCCACGTTTGGGAAGACACGTCACAACCATTCATGCATGCAGTTGGAGAGAAAGACACTGTGCGCGTATGATATGTCGCCTAATAGCTGCTACCAATCAGTGATCTCTTCTTATCTCTCCTGGGTATGCAAAGATGCCAAGTCAGGCAGCCACTGGTATTCCAGAGTCACCCTTCTAATTTACCTCAACATCGTCAAAGAGCAGGACGAAAATGGTAAGCTTTATTTAAGATAGCCAAGTAGGCCCTACTAAGCCAACACGCGCTCTAAGCTCCACAAGCTATTTATACTTAGGAGGAAATGGAGGATGCCTTTTTCTCCCGTTTTCCAGGCTTCCAGCCTAACCCGTCTCTTTCCACGGCCGAAGAATTTTCTCGTCTAACACATTATATGAATTGGAGTACTGGTTCTAAGAGATACAGAAAAGAACTGGCCAAATTCGCAAGCACAGAGTTTGCGCATTATTATGAGATCGGCAATAAGCTCCAAAACTATCAAGCTCTCTGTCAGGAACTGCAACTCGAGGGGCCTTTTGCTAGCGTCACACAGTGCCGAAAGGTATGTTTTCCCTTGTTTTTAGTTATCAGTGGCTTATATTGACGGACTAAATTATAAAGGCTCTTGCTAAAGTGCATATCAATATCTTTGACCTGATTGACTGTCGTCGCACAGGAGCGACCGTTCAAAGATTTCCTAACCAAGCCGCGCTCAAGAAGTACACCAGAGAGACCCAAAAGATATTCCCTAAGCAAGCGGCCAAAGCGGACGGCTTTCTTAAAGAATTACTACGCAAAATCTTCTGATTAGGCACGACTGGCGGTACTAGTCCTTTTGACGCAATGATAGGAATTTTGCTTCGAGCATACAAGCTTGGGGCATAGTCTATAGAAAGAATTTTGGAATGTCCTATGATCTATAAGAGATATTAGACAGGGACGTTCTTTGGCTTCGGGGAATGAATTAGCTTGAAGTCCACATATTTTCGTGTCTCTACTTCTTAAATCAGCCCTTAGGTGCAAGTGCTATGCAACACCTAGTTTATACTAGAAAGACAGGCCCAGATAATTCAGGAATCTTTTCAGACGTTCGAGAGCAATTCTACGATCAGACCACCAAAGACCGTATTCACGATCCAACTCAAGGGCTATCTCGACGAGCTTCGCGCACTACCCAGCAGCGGCTACATCGGCTCGGCGGATTCGGGCCCGGTGACGGATACCATCCTGGAGCGTTATCACACTCAAGGTGGGTGCCGTATACACACTATGCCCTAGCTTGTGCACAGATACTAAATTCTAACCAAGGCCCATTCGATTCCGAAGAAGCATTCAATACTGCAATCATCAGTGCCTTTATAGCAATGGAACCCAGACGCCACATCAAGAACTTCTTGACCGGCATGCTATCTCAAAATACCCATCGGATTGTATTTACGCACGGAGACTTCCGCCTCGCAAACATCATGGTCCACGACGGACATGTCACGGGGATTGTGGACTGGGAGTATAGTGGTTGGTATCCCCGAATACTGGGAATTCTCCCGGGCACTCTATGTGTGGCGTTGGCAGCATGATTGGACCGATTATTTGATGCGGATTCTTCGCCCGTATTATTCGGAGTACATGTTTCATTCTTTCCTCATGGCAACTTTGTGGTGATGCTCGGTTGCCGTTCGTCCATTATTACTTAGGATATCTGCGCAGCATGCCATAGATACCCTACCGCGAACCCAGGTCGAAGGTATTACGGGCGATGCGTTCGTCTTTGTCTTTATGCGATAGAGCTGCGTCTCCACATAGTACTCAAATTGCCACTACAAGTCTATATCGCAGCACGAGACATGCTCAACCAAACCAGCACAACAACAGCGACCGGACATCCCAGCAGCAGCCAAGATAGGAGACCCCGAGTCCGATCAAATGTATTCAAGACCGTTAGGGCTGTAAACCATCCGATACAGCAGACCCATATAGGTCACTTCCCTGATAACCTCAACAAAAGCCCATACCCACACCCACTAGCCAACCAATAGAGTCGATATTGTCTTCTGCACTGCGTAAACATGAAGATTACGATTCTCATGTAGAGAGTAGCACCATCCAGACGACTGATACCTCGAGATACGATTCATTCATCTGATATGAATTGCCACGCCCATTTTCACACCTTGTATCGATGATAAGATCATTCATCACAGCTCATCCTTATCCTTATCCTGATCCAGCAAACCACATCACCCTACAGTGCCATCCCCCAGGTAAGCAAAAAAACCCTCTACACCCTGAAAGTCCAATAAGAAGACAATCCCCCAAACCGTCCATCTACTGCAATAACCAGAGCCGTACTAAAACGCATAACCTTTACATGCGTTTCCAATTTTCCCTTCAAGAGGAACATGAAGTACGGAGTACGAAAAACCCATATAGGTCAAAAAGAACCAACAAATTGATAAAGATATTAAAGTCATTCCATTGTCGCGAGTCATGATCAACATTTCTCGGGGGTGGTTGAGTGATAAATGTCGTAAAGGGGGTATCTCTGTAGCGTTGTTCCCATCCCACCCAAATGCCGATCCCTGATCCAAACCCAATTCCAAATCCAAAGCCAAAGACGCCAATCCTGAACCCAAAACCATGTCCATCGCTGATCCAAACCCAGAAAGAAAAGGAAACAGAAAAAGAGGAGAAAAGAAAGAAAGTAAGAAAGAGAAAAAACACGCCAAACACAAAACACACGCCACGCAAAACACAACACACAAAACCACAGACCACGAACACGACACACACAACACACACATCACACACACACACACACACAACACACACACCACACACAATACACGTACACCACATACATCACACAGAATGGGATCGTGTTCATGGAAGGAAATTTATCTAGTCTATCCTGCGGGCATTTCTAGTGCGCCACGCAGCCTACACGGGATCTGTAACGACACTGCATAACTTTTGAAGAAAAACACCAGCCAATGCTGAAACACGCAACGTAAATCACACAAGCTGCGTCGAGGTTCACAGAGAGTATCCGCTTCCCTCAGTTCGTATAGATCGTCAAAACCCCCGATGGACCTAAGGCGCCAGGATCAACGCAAGCAGAGCCATACGGCAGTAGAGACCATATCTCATCTGTAATCCAACATCAGCACCAAATTCAGTCAAGGGGATAGGGGGGAAACTAACCTGGCGGAAGTAGGCGGCCCGCTGGTCGAAATCAACCTCCTCCGAGATCTCCGCGTTGCGAGGCAGAGGGTGCATCACGACCATGTGGCTCTTGGCGTGCTTCAGAAGAGCGTTGTCAATGACGAAGCTGTTCTTCAGGCGCTCGTACTGAGCCAGGTCGGAGAACCGCTCCTTCTGCACCCGAGTCGAGTACAGAACGTCGGAGCGGGCAACGATCTCGGGCGTCAACTCCTCCGATTCCACCACCAGCTGTCCGGATGCAATGATTTGTTGACGAACCTCCTCCGGCAGGGAGAGATCCTTGGGCGCAACCAGCTGCACCTGCACGTCGTAGAACTGGAGCAGCTTGATCAGCGAGTGAACAGTCCGGCCGTACCGCAGGTCACCAGTGAAGGTGATTGTCAGGCCACCAACGGTTCCAAGCTCCTCACGGATGGTGAAGAGGTCGAGGAAGGCCTGAGTGGGGTGCTCAACGCTACCGTTGCCGCCATTGAGAACCGGGACGGGCGAGAACTTAGCGGCGACTTCGGCGCTGCTAGGATCGGGGTGACGCAGAACAACGGCATCTCCGTAGCAGCCAAGAGTGCGGATGGTGTCCTGCAGGGTCTCGCCCTTCTTAGTCGAGGAGTGCTCGGTGGAGATGGCAATGGTCCGGCCGCCCAGACGCTGCATAGCAGCATCGAAAGAAGCGGACGTCCGAGTGGAGGGCTCGTAGAAGAGAGTGCACAGTACACGGCCCTTCAGGATGTCAAGCACGCCCTGGCGTTGGACACCCAGACGCATCTCCTGGGCCACCGTGAAGAGCAAGTGCAGGTCAGCCCGAGTGAACTGGTTGACGGAGAGCACGTGCTTCTGACGGAAGGGAGAGCGAGAGAGCATCTCGAGCAGAGAAGAAGAGACCTGAGGAACGGGAGCATACAGCGGAGGTCCAAGCTCACCCACAGCAGGAGCAGGAGTCTGCTCAGCAAGCTTACGGCCAGGCCGCAGAGGGGTGGCAGAGAAGGACAGTCTGCGGTCAAGAGAGCTCTCAGGACGGGCACGAACCATGGGAGACATGGCCTTCACGGAAGGAGAGGCGGGCACAATGCGGTGTCCGGACATGTCGCTTCCCTTGGAAGCATCCGAGATGATTTCACCATCGAGGCAGGAGGTCTTGCCCTGGAAGGTAACTCGCTGCACAGCACCCCGAACGCTCTTACCGTTGAGCGGAGACCAAGCATGGGGGCTCTGGTACAGGTAGGGGCGGTCGATCTCGATCTCGACGGAGCTGTCAGCCTGGTCGTGCAACTCGAAGATCTTCTTGGGGTTCTCGTAGAGACGGGCGATGATGTCCTCAACGGTCAGACGACCCTCCGAGACGGCAGTGAACAACAGCGGCAGGGATTCGGCGATACCGACGACGGGGGAGGCCTTATCACCAGCCAGCTGGTAGGGAAGGCTACCGATGGAGAAGACATCGATGGTGCTCAGGTGCTCCCACAGGGCCTGCTGGTCCTCGACCGAAGGCAGAGCGCTGCACTCGGGATAGTCATCCCTGGAAAGGAAGAGAGAGAAGATGGAAACGTCGCAGGTCACCTTGAGACCCTTCTCCTTGCTGAGAGCGATGAGGCCGATGTCCTCCTTGGACGACACGCTCATGACGTGGATGTTGCGGCTGTGCAGGCTGGCCAAGAGCAACACGGAGGCCAGGTCAGTCGACTTGGCGTCGGTGATGATAGGCTTGCTGGAAGGCCAGGCAGCAAAGTGGCTGGTGACCGCAGCAACCTTGCTGATGTTGCCAGAGAGATGGTTGAAGGGGATGAAGAGCGAACCCACATCTCCGGTCACCTGGCCGATTTGATCCGCGTTGGTGGCGGTGGCCACAACAGAGAAGTTGAAGTCACAGAAGGAGGCCTTCTGGGCATTCTGCTGGGCAACCTTCAGGGCGCGAGCATCGGTGACCGAGGCGTCCACACCCACGGGCATCACACGAACCATGCTGAAACCAGCGGCAATGGAGGCCTTGGTCATGAGCTCGAAATCATTGGATCCAGGAGTCATCAGGTTGGGCACGAAAGCCGCGATGTTGATCAGGCCCGGAAGGATGATGGTGCGGTGGCTGGTCTGGTAGTCGATGGTCTGCACGTTGAGAGCAAAGTGGCGAGCAATGGCCTCGATCAGGATCTTGGCGTTCTTGACATTGGTCACCAGAGGAGTCTGGTAGTCGACGGCCATACGACGAGTGCGGTAACCCTTACTCATGTAGTTGGCAGGACGTCTGAACCGGTTGTTGGACGGCAAGTTGATGTACAGGTCAATCAGGTTGTTGGCCAAGTGCTGAGTGAGCGAGTACTCGGACTTGATGTCCTCCTCCTCGCCGGGAAGGATCTCAAGGTACTTGACGGGCACGCCGTTCTCCTTCAGGAAGTCGGCGGTACCAGCCGTGGCGAAGAGGTTGAATCCGATCTGGTGGAGCTTGCGGATCGAGGGCAGCATCTCCATCTTCTCCTTGAAGGAACCAATAGAGAACAGCACGTTGCGCTTGGGAAGGCGGAACCCGGTGGAGATCAGGGCCTTGAGGTAGGCTTCGTACTTGTCACGGCCAAAGGACGCGACTTCTCCGGTGGAGGCCATCTCCACACCCAGGACAGGATCGGCGCCAGAGAGACGGGAGAAGGAGAACTGGGGCACCTTCACACCAACGTAGTCCTTGGGGATAGAGACAGGAGGATATTCAGCGAAGGGAGCACCGATCATCGCCTTGGTAGCCATCTCGATAAGATCAACGCCCATCACCTTGGAGACGAAGGGGAAAGAGCGAGAAGCTCTGACGTTACACTCGATAACCTTGATGTCGTTATCCTTGGCAATGAACTGGATGTTATAAGGACCGGTAACATTCAAAGCGTTACCAATCTTCCTGGTCGCCTCCTCGATCCGGCGCACAGTCTCGGGATCCAAGTCCTGTGGGGGCAGGATCAACGTAGCGTCACCAGAGTGAACACCAGCGTTCTCAACGTGTTCAGAGATGAAGTGTCCGACCATGACACCGTTGCGGGCCACGGCATCCATCTCAATCTCCTTGGCGTTCTCGATGTACTTGGTGATAACTACCGGGTGCTCCCGAGAAACCTCAGCAGCCTGGTTGAGGTAGCTGGCCAAGTCATGCTCGGAGTAGACAGTGTTCATGGCAGCTCCCGAAAGCACGTAGGAGGGTCTGACAAGCACAGGATAGCCGACCTTGTCACAGAATCCGGTGGCCTCTTCGATGCTAGTGAGTTCCTTCCAAGCGGGTTGGTCAACACCGATACGGTCAAGCATGCGCGAGAACTTGTAACGGTTCTCAGCGCCATCAATCATCTCGGGAGAGGTACCGAGAATGCGGACATTCAAGCGGTGCAGGGGCAGAGCAATGTTGTTGGGAGTCTGACCACCCATGGAAATGATCACGCCGCTGGACGATTCCAACTGGTAGATGTCGAGAACAGTTTCCAGGTTGATGTTCTCAAAGTACAACCGATCGGCTTCGTCATAGTCGGTACTGACGGTTTCCGGGTTGTAGTTGACCATGACAGTCTTGTGGCCTTGTTCACGGAGAGTGCGAATAGCCCGCACGGAACACCAATCAAACTCGACGGAAGAACCGATACGATA